CTCCTCACCAGATGGTACCGTGCACCTTCAATACTTCAGAAATACTGCCCCACACTCTCAAGCCAATGCTGGAGATGCCAAGATGGTGAAAGCTCTTTATTGCATATTTTTTGGACGTGTCCAAAACTGGAACCCTTCTGGAAAGAGGTACATCGTATCTCCAAGAAATTCACTGATTATGTCCTCCCTGAGGACCCAGCTTTATTTCTTTTACATGTCTCGGATATACCTGAAAAAACATATGTCAAATTGATTCTATGCCACCTATTTAATTCCACCAGATCATGTATCGCCCTATGGTGGAGGGATACACGAAAACCCCCCCCTCTCGCTATAGTAGAGGAGGTCAACAGAATGGAAGAACTGATTTTAACAGTGCAAAATAGACGTGAAGCCTACTCGAAGACCTGGCTTCTCTGGAATGGTTACTTTCTCAGAAGAGGGGAAAACCCTCATTGTATCCTCCTCACTTGACTGACTCATTTTACCCCCTCATGACTGGAACATCCCTCCTTCCTCCAGTATCCCCTACCCCTCTTCTCCCCCCTTCCCCATTTCCCATCCCCCCTGTAACGTACATGTAAGATTTGAGTGGATAGGATCAGTGGCAATATGTAATCGTGACCATAGTGCATCCACATGTGACATAAATGTACAGATTTGAGAAGATTAAATGTAGATTCAGCCCTTTTCATTACAGATGTATGTTCAGTCAGAGATGCTCAGACAGTGGTCATCAATTAGCATCAATTAGTGGTCATCAATTAGCATCAATTAGGTTGAAAAGTCTGGCTTCCTGGATGTGACACCTTTTGTGTGTTGATAAGGTTATCACATTCTGGGAGAACCGGTTTGGAGGAAATGACAAGCAGACAGGGTGTCTGCCTGACATTGAAAGCTCTAACGGGATACATACATCAAAAGGGGTATGTTTAATCTCTCATAAAAGCTAAAATATTAGTTGCAGAGAGATGAACATGCTCCCTTCTTGTAGGGCATTCTGTGCGCTACATCTGCATATAAAAATCATATTTGTGGCTTGGGGAAAATGCCAGGAAAATGCAGGGAATGGTTAGGTGGCGCTGGATCGCGACAGTCGAATGGTGTTTGGTACTGTCGCGATCGGACTGATGCGCTGGTGTCAGAAATCCAATCCCCGACTTGATGTTCAAGCCAGTCTTGGCCCGATTGAACTTGGGCAGGTCAGCACACAGTAACTCCTGTGGGCGGGTGCAGGAGCAGCCCCCCCATGGTCGATTGGCCGAGGACTAATGTCCCGCCTATGTCCATATCCCCATAAAAGGAGTACCCGGACACTGGGACATTTGTGATTCGTACGGAGCTGGTCCGATCGAACAACGAATTGCTGTTTCTCCCTGACTTGCTCCAGTCGCAGGATAGATCTGGGTAAAAGTTTTATTCTGTCTTTTATTCCCTTTTTATTTTATAGTGAATAGTCATTTGTGTGTCTTCTTGTATTTTTTGTATTTCTGTAACTTTTTATATTTTGTACATATTTTATGCACTGCCCACTTCGGGAAATTCAATCTTAAAATAATTAGTGACTTTTGTGTATTTAAGCACGTGCTCATATCTTCGGCGGGATTGGATTGGAAAGATTGGAGAGATTAGATTGGATTAGATTAAATTGTATTGTATTTCAGGGCCTTTAAAACGCTCGGTCAAGCTCATTGCCAATCTGTATGCAATTGCACTGTGTGTGGGCAGATTGCATGCAGATTGTAAAGGTAACAGATCGGCCAGATGGAGATCTGTGTGTGTGGGGTGTCCCAGCAGACCATTCTGCGGATAAACTGTTGGGCGGTGGCAGGCTACCTTTTGTGATGTGTCTGGTGTGGGGGTGTGTGGACAGTGGAAGAGTGATTAGCTCCAGGGTTCTGGCTTGTGGAATAGCTGGAAATTTTTTATTTCAAGAGAACTTGCGACCAGCAAAAAGCTTTTTTTACAAAATTACAAAAAATAAAAGCAACAATAAATAAAAAAATACAACACCATTCCTCTGGCCTAAATCATATACAAAATACTTCATAATAAAACATAAACACGGATATAAACATTTAGCCCTTTATGGCTGTAGCATTAGAGTCCATAGCCTGTAGAAAGGAAAGGGAGAGAAACATAAATGGCCTTTATGGCCCAAATAACAAGGCTTCAGAGAACAAAAAAAAAGACCTTTTCTGCCTTGCCACATTATTATGAAGAATGAAAAAAAAAAACCTTTACAGGTCTAGCATCAAGGGGTACCTATCAAGAAAGGCCTTTACAGCCTGACCTCATAATACACATAAAAGGACAATGCCCTTTATGGCCTGGCATCATAGCATATAAGAAGGATGCTGGCCTTTATGACCCAATATCACACAGCTATACAAAAACTATACCCACCAAAGACTAAGAAACCTAGACCTTCAGCGAATGCAGCCTTTCATCAAAAACCATACTTACTTGCAAAATCTAGGGGAGTGAAAAGAGGAGAAAAAAAAAGATGGGGTAGGATAGCTGGAAATATTTTTATTCAAAAATAGATCTTGCAACCAGCGGACATATTTTTTTACAAAAGTATAAAAAATAAATAACATAAACTTCCTACCGGAAATAGACAAAGAAAAAACTGGATACGTCTCCAGGACATAATACCAACAATAACAGAAAAGGACCTGGTCTTTATGACCATAACACCCAGACATGTAATTTGTACCCTACAGAGGGCAGTTTTGCTTAGAAATCCAACTTCCATGGCCTACCATTTTAAGAAAGCAAAACAAAAACAGTGAAAAACAGAAAAAAGAGGCCTTAACGGCCTTACATTTTACCTATGTATATACACAGTATATGTCTACCATGGCACAACTTTAAACCCCTTGCAGGGGGAACCACACTTAAGTGCAAAGGCCTTTATGGCCTACCAGCATACATAAATAACATATCCCTTATGAGGGGAAACCTCACACACTTTAAATTATTCGCCTATACGCCTTTAACAAAACTAGAAAACTTAGTATACTACCCAACAAAGGCTAAGAAACCTAGACCTTCAGGTATCTGTGACCATTCTCAAAAAAGAAACCTTCAACCAAAATCTAAGGGGGTGAAAAAGAGGAGAAAAGCAGGACAGCAACCACACCAAGAGATCAACAAACTGCCGCTACAGGCTTGATATTCCTCCACACCTTTATCCAGACCCTTCGCCGCAGCCTGTGTCTTTCTCAAGACCCCGAATTTTCCCAACCTCACCAAGGATGTCACACACCACCACCAGGACAGAACAGGAAGGACCTTCTGCCGCAAGGAGACCTGACACTGTGCATTCTTGGTGTAGTACCGGACAACTAGACAGACTAGAAACAGTGTGTCCAAATCAAAACCAGCATGACTTTCTAATGTCCCATACACCCACTCTGCATAAGACATGCAGTGCAGGAAAGGGATGTCCAGAGCCCTCCCCACCTCTTTATACACCTCTACATTGAAGGGACATTGAAGCAAGAAGTGGTCCATACTTTCCAGCTCGCCCCCACACTCCGTCCTTGGACAACAACGGTTATCCAGAGAACGGAACTTCAAATTTCCCCTCACGTAGAGCCTGCCGTAGAACACAAGCCAGGCCTGGTCCCTAAACTTTAAGGGAATCCTTTCCATATTTAACTAACTCAGACCCTCCCACAAAATATGGCCTGGGCAATCCTTCAAGGCCAGAGGTGTGCATGGAATGCCTAGGCCATGACCCTCTCCCTCAGGAGCCTCCCAGGGAGTGACCGGACCTCCTCCGCAGTCACACACCACCACCTAAGTATCTTCAAACACGGGACAACATAAGCCGGGAGCTTACCGTGCTTGACCCTCAGGCTTCTCACTGGCCCACCCCACCTCTCTCCCAACAGTTCAGAAAAGGCCTAAACCAGACTTGGAAAAAACCTACCCATACAGGCGGTCTCTCTTTTAGCATGCTACCAATATTATGTTTAATAAATATCAGAGAGAAGAAAACAACTGGGTTGACAATACATAGGCCACCCTCACATCCCGCCTTACAAGGTTCAGCCTGTTTCCCCACAATAGCTGGAAAAAACAGCTGTAGACTCTCATATAGAGAGATTCTGGCAAGAGACAGACAAAACTGACGTACAAGAAAATGGGGACCAAGTAAGTTTTAATTAGGTTGACCCTTTCCCTTAGGGACAAACGCCACCCCTTCCAGCATCTCATTTCACATCAGCATCTAACAGCCTAGATTCCCAATTTGCTTTACTGTAATCGTCAGGTCCAAATTCGATGCCTAACACTTTGATCTTCTGTCGGGGCTCTGGGAAGACTTCCGGAAGCTTGAAGCCCTCACCTTCCCTACCCATCCAGAAAACTTTACATTTATCCTGATTGATCTTGGAGCCTGATGCTTCTACATACTGTTCCATCACCGAGACCACCTCCTGCGCCTCACTGGCCCCGGAGATGAAAACAGACACATCATCAGCATAGGCCACGACCCTCAAAGGCGACTCACCAGTTGAACCCACTGGCACCCCACCCAACACCCCACCATCGAGCATCCTAATAAAGGGGTCGATGGCAAAGGCATAGAGCAGAGGGCTCAGCGGACATCCCTGGCACACCCCCGAACTGACCTCAAAGGGCCGCCCAACCCAACCATTGGCCAACATGAAGCTCTCAGCCCCTTTGTACAAAGTCTGCAACCAACCAATGAACCTCCCCTCCAGACCATACCTGTAAAGGAGATGCCAGAGGTACTTGTGGTCAACCCGATCAAAGGCCTTAGCTTGATCCAACTGCAGCAAGTACTTCCCAAAGCCATCAGCCCTGCACCGCTCCAGAGCCTCCCGGACAGCTAAAACCGCTGAGAAGGTGCTCCTGCCCTGGACCGAGCAGTGCTGCTGCAGTGAAAGTAGACCATCTTGCAACTGACGACAAGCGCCAGAAAAGGATCTTGGCAAGGATCTATCGACGTTGAGCAGACTAATGGGGCGCCAATTCTCAATCATCGTAGAATCCTTACCCTTTGACAGCAAAATCATAGCTGACTTCCTCATGGATGGAGTGAGCCCTCTTCAAGACAGCAATTAAAAACCTCCTCCAGGAGAGGTGCCAAGCGAGATTTAAAGGTCTTAAAAAACTCTGCTGTCAAGCCGTCTGGCCCCGGTGTCTTTTTAATGACCAAACTGTCTATCACTTTGGAAACCTCTTCAACTGTTATCCTCACCTGTCAAACTTGTAGGTGGAGTGTTATTCTCCAACCCTGGCGTAGAATCCAGGAAGCTTGACATCCCTGCCTGGTCAAGATGCTTCTCCTTTAGAAGATCTTCAAAAAAAGCCCTTGAGACCTCCAAGATCCCTGACCTGGATTTTGTCACGGATCTCGTACTATCTTTCAGACCACTGATCGTTTTAGCTGCTATGCTCTGTTTGCACTTCTGGTAAGGGTCGGGCGAGTGATATTTCCCATAATCCCTTTCCAGAACCAAAGAGGCATACCGATCATACTGATGTTTCCTTAAGAGAAGCTTAACCTCTGAGATTGCCCCAGAATCTCCACCCTCTGAGACAAGGCGGTCAAGCTTTCTCTGCAACTGCTGATAGGCAATGTATTTATCAAGTTGTTTCATCTTACCTAGGGCCTTGAAAAACCTGCCGATCTGCACTTTGGTAAGCTCCCACCACTCCGACTTACTGCTGTAGAAATCCAGGATGGTCTCCTGTGCTTGAAGAAAATCCTCAAAGGATCGTCTCACTTCTTCGTCCTCCAGCAGAGCCAAATTCAACCTCCAGACACCCCTTCCCTTTAGCGGAGCATCTGAAGCATTCAAAGCCACAGTCAATTAAAGGTGATCGGAAAACTCCACTGTCCGACACTCAGGTGCCGAGAAAGCAGAGGCCCCCTTTAAAAAAAAACCTATCTATCCTACTCTCACATCTACCTCTTCTAAATTGAACCCTGTGCTGTCCGAGCTGCACTTAATCAAGGCATCCACCAGACCTGCTTCCCTGACTATCGCATTTAAAAAAACGCTGTCATATCCCAGCCTGTAAGTGGAGCCTTTCCTGTTTTTGAGCCTAGTGACGGTGTTAAAATCACCTTCAAAGACAACCTGCCGGGACGTAAAAAGGAAAGGCTTAATCTTTGTGAAAAGGCATTTCCTATCCCAGGTAGACTGGGGACCATATACTGTATATTAATAAGACGTAATTCCTGCCCTTTCACAAGGACGTCTAGGACCAAACACCTTCCAATCTCCACCTCAAGGACCCGCCAACATGTTACCATGCCGGAAAAAAGTAACGCAACTCCGCTGTAAGGCTCAGCCACAAGAGACCAAAAAGAGGGGCCACATCTCCACTCTCTTTTTGCCAGATGTAAATCAGCCAGGCAATTCAGCTGGGTCTCTTGCAAAAACAAAACATTAACACCAATCTTGCTGAACAAAAATAAGGCTGTACTACGAGCACTTACAGATTTAATGCTGGCAAAATTAATGGTTACCACCTTTATCGGAGCGGGAACTGCCAATAAGATACTTGAGATGGCCGTTTCTTAACCTTTTTTTTCCCACCTTTTCCTGGAGGCCTAGACCTCTTTAGGGAACCCCCAGCATCCTCATCCTCCATCGGGAATAGGAACTCAGCTATGTCCCCATCCTCCCCCGACAGAGTCCCAAACCTGTTGGTCAGATGTACCTCCTCTACGTCTAAAGAGGAGGAGAGGGAAGATGCAGGGGAAATTAAAGGCCTATTCCTATTTCCCTTCCCCACTACAGACCACCCATCCCCCTTATTCTCTGTCCCAGACCCCTCAACCCCAGGACCTGAGCCTGAACACTCCTGTTTACCTCCTAACACCCCATCCCCCTTCACCTGACCCCTCCATCGACGAGGGAGCAAAACTGGAGAAGAAGACCCTGAGGGCCCCGCAACTCCTGCTCCCTTAGCAGCCTACTTGATTTTTGATTGGCCAGAGGTGGGAGACACACGAGGAGGGGCAGATGACAACTGGGAAGAGACAGAAATGGGGAATACTAACAACAGGGGGAATGACAGACACATTAGGGGACACTCTAGGCGCCCCTGAGGCTGGCCCAGCATCAACTGTTGGTTCAACTGAAACCCGACCTGCCTCTACTTCCTTAGCCTCCTCAGCCTCCATTCTAGCCAGCTCTTCCATCACCCCTGACAGGTTAAGCAGAGCCTCTGGGCAATTACTGTAAGAGTGGCCCAACTCCTGACACAGATTACATCTGATTTGATTGCAGTCTTTAGCTACATGACCAACCTCTTGGCACAATGAGCATTTCAGTACACTGCACCCAGAGGCAAAGTGCCCTTTGCTCTCGCATCTGTGGCATACTTTAGGCTGGCCTGCATAAAAAACTACCAGCCTATCTTTGCCAATGAAGGCTGATGATGGGATATGACTCACTATGTTACCCAGCACTCGCACCTTCACTGCCGCTGTCCATCCCCCCCGTCCATATACCCCTGTCGTCAAGCTGTTTTCTCAGTGGACTCAGCACTTCCCCGAAGCGACTCAACCATACTACCAGGTCTGCTGCTGGTATGGACTCGTTCCTGACGAGTATTATGACGTTTTTGACTTCCTGCTGCCTGGAGACCACCTTTGGCCTCAGTCCCTCCCACCTGGGGGTATCCCTCCACCCCCCCTTCATACCTCTGCCAGAACAGATCAAGGCTCTCTGGCCTCACAAAGGAAATCTTCATACTCGCCTGTGTCAATCGGTGCAATGAAGGAGAATATGTCCCTGGCAGAGAAGCCCATGTCCAATATACGATCAATAACCTCCCTTCTAGTGGGAGGGGGGGGGGGACTCCCATCCTCCCACTTTATTTGTACCACATTTCTTCTTTTTATCACAGAGCCTGCCTCCCCAATCCGTATTTCTGAGGTCCCCACTGCACTCTGCCCACCTCTCACGGCTGCAGAGTAACTCAACACTGGCTTGGGAGCTGTGACAGACGCAGGGACAGAAGGATCAGCTGAGCCATGAGCTGGAACGGGTGCAGAAGCGGGACCGGGGGCGGGACCACAGGCAGGTGCAGAAGCCTGGATGGGGATAGAGGCAGAAACAGGGGCGGGACCTTGGACGTGTACAGAGGCAGAAGCCTGGACAAGGGAAGGGACAGGACTAGCAGCGGGAGCCAGGACCAGAGTAGAGGTGGGGCCAGGAGCTGGTACACCAACTGCAGCCCGGACCGTAGCGGAAGCATGGGCGGGAGCACTGACAGGGGCCGCAACTGAAGCTGCGGCAAGGACAAGGGCGGGTACAGAGACGGTAGCCGCCGCGGTAGGGGCGGGAACATGGGCGGGAACCTCAATCTGAGCCATGACCGCAGCAGGGGCGGGAACAGCGGCATGAGCCAGGATGGGAACAGAGCAAAGAACCGGAGCAGACACAGCCTTGGACACAGTTGCTGCCGAGTCAGGCACATACAAGGGTTCTGGGACATCTAGTACCACAATAGGCACAGCATTACCAGCAGACATGACAGAACCGTCCATAGCTTTACTTACAGTTCCCGGTGCTTCTTGCAGCTTCACTGCTGCACCGCTCACCTCCCTCAAGCCGTCTGCCTTCTCTATCTCACTGGGCAAATGCTCCAGTAGAACAAAGGCAGCTTTCGCCTTTCTCCTGGGCCTCATCGGTTTGGGAACCACATCATCTTCCGGGTCAGTGTCTGCTGAGGAATAAGTGAACTGTCTCCCCTGCAGGGGGACTCCAGTTCCCCAATAAACTCCATCACTCCCTCTGTAGCTTCATCTAGCACCTCTGAAGCCCAATCCCGCACCGGCTGCTGGGGAGGGATAGATCCCTGCTCCTCTTCCACCGTCACGGCCTCCATGGCTTCCTCTGCACGCTGACACTGTGCTGCTGTGGCTGCTGCTGCATGATCGGAGGAATCCTCTAATGACAGGTTCTCCACCCGGCCTCTCCCAGATGCAAAGGACTTTTCCCAAGCCGCTTTAAAACGCTCCTCATTGACATACCGCTCCCTGAGGGCGCCACTCATAGCTTTGAGCGTGGCCACGAGGTCTCCCTGCACCCGACGGCCCGCTCCATTTCCTCCAGCTTTGGCCGCATGGCCTGACGTTTTGTACTCCATACACAATCATAGGCACCCTTAAAATGCTTCAACTCCATCTTCATTTGCTTCAGCTTCTACTCCTCTCTCCCAATCCTTCTGATATGAGATTTTACTCTCCCCCTGTAAGCAGCATAATTTTTGTCTGCTTTAGGGCCTTTTCCCAGGTCCTCCACTGGCATGGCATCAGGACCGGTACTAAGTGTCCCTTTGGGGTCACCTCCACCCGGATCACGGCCGGGCTCCGCCATCCTCTCCTGGATAGTGCCAGAAATCTAGTCCCCGGCTCAGATTGAGGCCTAGCAGGACCTCACACAGCACACACTGTCTGAACAGCAGTCACACCCACTTCCTTCTAACGAGGCCCAGCTGTAGAATAGCTGGAGATATTTTATTGAAATAAAATCTTGCAACCAGCTTACATTTTATACAAAAATACAAAAGAATAAATAAGAAAACTTCATACAGTAATCAAACGACAGAAAACAAACAAAAAAAGAACTAGCTATATCTCCATACAATTAAATTACACCACTAAAGATAGGAAAATAACTTTTATATAGCCACTATAACTGGAAACAGCAATTTTTGTGTATAAGGCCTTTCTGACCTGGCTTCAAAAAATAAAAACAAAATACTACAATAGTAAAATTAAGAAAAACCTGAGGCTTCTACAGCCCCATACATATACCTATTTTTTGTTATGCTCCTATGGCCACCATCAGCCGTCAAAGGAACGCACATAACAACCAAGAAAAAAAGGAACATACCAGGGCCTTTATGGCCCAAAAGAAACTTCTACATATCTACACAACCAAAGCTAAGAAACGTAGACCTTCAGGTGCACATAGCCTTTCTTCAAAAAGACTTCTAACCAAAATCTAGGGGAGTGAAGGAAGAGGAAAAACAGGAAAGCAACCTCACCAAGAGATCAACAGATCGCAGCTACAGGCCTGATGTTCCTCCACGCCTCTATCCAGGCCTTTTGCCGCAACCTGTCTTTCTCTAGACCCCGAATCTTCCCTACCTCACCAAGGATGTCACACACCACCACCTGAACAGGAAGGACCTTCTGCCGAATGGAAACCTGACACCGTGCATTCCATGTGTAGTAACGGGTCACTAGACAAACTAGAAAAAGAGTGCTCAAATCAAAACCAGTATGACTTTCCAATGCCCCATATACCCACTCTGCATAAGACATGCAGTGCAGGAAGGGGAAGTCTAGAGCCCTCCCCACCTCTTTATACACCTCTATGTTGAAGGGACATTGAAGCAAGAAGTGGTCCATAGATTCCACCTCGCCCCCACACTCCGTCCTCGTACAACCACGGTTATCCAGAGAACGGTACTTCAGGTTTCCCCTCACATAGAGCCTGCCATGGAACGCAAGCCAGGCCTGGTCCCTAAACTTCAAGGGAATCCTTTCCATATTTAACAAACGTATCCCCTCCCGCAAAATATGGCCTGGGTAATCCTTCAAGGCCAATGGTGCATGAAATGCAGAGGCCACAACCCTCTCCCTCAGGAGTCTCCCAGGAAGCGATCTGACCTCTTCCGCAGTCACACACCACCGCCTCAGTATCTTCAAGCACGGAGCGACATAAGCCGGGAGCTTACCATGCCTGACTCTCAAGCTTCTCCCTGGCCCGCCTCTCTCCCAACAGTTTAGAAAAGGCTTAAACCAGACTTGGAAAAGGCCTACCCATGCAGGCGGTCTCTCTTTTAACATGTTACCAAGATTATGTTTAATAAACATCAGAGAGAAGAAAACAACTGGGTTGACCATACCTAGGCCACCCTCCCGCCTGGATCGATAAGTCACATCCCGCTTCACAAGGTTCAGTCTGTTCCCCCATAACAGCTGGAAGAAGCAGCTGTAAACCCTTGTGTAGAGAGACTCTGGCAAGAGACAAACGAAACTGACGTATAAGAAAACAGGGACCAAGTAAGTCTTGATTAGGTCAACCCTTTCCCTTAGGGACAGCTGCCACCCCTTCCAGCATCTCACTTTACCATCAGCATCTGCAAACCTGGACTCCCAATTTGTTTTGCTGTAGTCGTCAGGGCCAAATTCGATGCCTAGCACTTTTACCTTCTGTTGGGGCTCAGGGAAGGCATCCGGAAGCTCGAAGCCTTCACCTTCCCTGCCCATCCAGAAAACTTCACACTTGTCATGATTAATCTTGGAGCCTGATGCCTCCGCATACTGCTCCATACCCGAGACCACCTCCTGCGCCTCACCGGTCCCAGAGATAAATACAGATACATCATCGGCATAAGCCACGACCCTCAAAGGTGGCTCACCAGTAGTGCCCACTGGCACCCCGCCCAACACCCCGCCATCTAGCCTTCTAATGAAGGGGTCGATGGCAAAGGCATAGAGCAGAGGGCTCAGCGGACACCCCTGGTGCACCCCTGAGCCGACCCCAAAGGGCCGCCCAATCCAACCATTGATCAAACATGAAGCTCTCAGCCCCTTTGTACAAAGCCTGAAGCCATCCAATGAACCTCCCCTCCAGGCCATACCTGTCAAGGAGATGCCAGAGGTACTTGTGGTCGACCCGATCAAAAGCCTTAGCTTGATCCAATGCCAGCAAGTACCTGCCACAGCCATCAGCCCTGCACCGCTCCAGAGCCTCCCGGACAGCTAACACCGCTGAAAAAGTACTGCTGACCTGGACCGAGCAGTGCTGCTGCTGTGTGAAAGTAGACTGTCTGACACTGACGACAAGCGGCAGAAAAGGATCTTGGCCAGGATCTTTCTATCAACATTGAGCAGGCTAATGGGGCGCCAATTCTCAATCATCGTAGGGTCCTTCCCTTTTGACAGCAAGATCACAGCTGACTTCCTCATGGAGGGAGGAGCGAACCCTCATCCAGACAGCAGTTAAACACCTCCGCTAGGTGAGGTGCCAAGCTAGATTTGAAAGTCTTAAAAAACTCCGCTGTCAACCCATCTGGCCCTGGTGTCTTTTTAATGGCCAGACTGTCTATCATGTCTATCTCACTTGTCAAACTTGTGGACGGGTTGTTATTCTCCAAACCTGGTGTAGAGTCCAGGAAGCTTGACATCCCTGCTCGGTCAAGGTGCTTCTCTTTCAAAAGATCCTCAAAAAAAGCCCTTGAGACCTCCAAGATCCCTGACCTGGATTTCGTCAGGGATCCTGTACTATCCCTCAGGCCGCTGATCGTCTTAATTGCTATGCTCCGTTTACAATTCTGGAAAAGGTTGGGTGAATGGTGCTTCCCATAGTCCCTCTCCAGAACCAAAGAGGCACACCGATCATACTGATACTTCTTCAAGAGAAGCTTAACCTCTGAGATTGCCCCAGAATCTCCACCCTCTGAGACAAGGCGGTCAAGCTTTCTCCGTAACTGCTGATAGGCAATGTATTTCTCAAGTTGTTTCCTCTTACCTAGGGCCTTGAAAAACCTGCCAATCCACACTTTGGTAAACTCCCACCATTCCAACTTACTGCCGCAGAAATCCAGGATGGTCGCCTGAGCCTGAAGAAACTCCTCAAAGGATCGTCTCACCTCTTCGTCCTCCAGCAGAGCCGAATTCATCCTCCAGACACCCCTACCATTCAGCGGCATATCTGAGGCATTCAAAATCACAGTTAACAAAAGGTGGTCGGAAAACTCCACCGCCTGACACTCAGGTGCCGAGAAAGCGGAGTCCCCCTTTAAAAAAAAAACAAACTATCTATTCTACTCTCACTTCTACCTCGCCTAAAAGTGAATCCCGTGCTGTCTGGGCTGCGCTTAATTAAGGCATCCTCCAGACCTGCTTCCCTAACTATCGCATTTAAAAAAACGCTGTCATATCCCAGCCTGTCAGTGGAGCCTTTCCTGTCTTTGAGCCTAGTGATGGTGTTAAAATCACCTCCAAAGACAACCTGCCGGGACGTAAAAAGGAAAGGCTTAATCTTTGTGAAAAGGCATTTCCTATCCCACGTAGACTGTGGACCATATATATTAATAAGACGTAATTCCTGCCCCTTCACAAGGACGTCTAGGACCATACACTTTCCAATCTCCACCTCAAGGACCCGCCGACATGTTACCATGCCGGAAAAAAGTACCGCAACTCCGCTGTAAGGCTCAGCCGCAAGAGACCAAATAGATGGGCCACACCTCCACTCTCTTTTTGCAAGATGTAAATCGGCCAGGCAATTAAGCTGGGTCTCTTGCAAAAACAAAACATCAGCACCAATTTAACTGAGCAAAAATAAGGCTGTACTACGAGCACTTACAGATTTAATGCTGGCAACATTAATTGGTTGCCACCTTTATCGGAGCGGGAACTGCCATTAGGGATACTTGAGATGGCCGTTTCTTAACCTTAGTTCTCCCAACCTTTGCAGGGGACCTCGTCCTCTTGAGGGAACCCCCTGCATCCTCATCTTCTATAGGGGACAAGGACTCGCCTCCATCCCCTCTTCTCCAGAAAGCAGATCAAATTTGTTCTTCAGAGCTATGTCCTCTACCTCCAATGAGGAACAGGAGGAGGCAGAAGAGAGGGCCACCCTACTCTTGCGCACACCCCCTACAACTGTCCACCCTCCTTCCTTACCTTCCACCCCTGGCTCCTCAGTCCCAGAGGCCAGCTGACCTTCCCCCCCCCCTTACCCTCAGAAGCCCCTAAACCCTTAGTAAGGCTCTTCCGCTTCCGCGGCAACAACACCAGAGGGGACCCATAAGGATTTTACTGACTCCAGCCCCTTTTGCAGCCTCACTGATTTTGGACTTAACTGTAGGGGAGGATGCACGAGGGGAGGGAAGATGACACCGAGGAAGACACAGTGACAGAGGAATGTTTTACAACAGAAAAAGGAACAGACACATCAGGCGACACACTAGAGGCCTTTGAGGCTGGGACATCCACCACATTCTGGTCCCCAGAGACCTGCACCTCACCCGCCTCCTCAGCTTCCATCCTGGCCAGCTCTTCTACAATATCTGGGATGTTGTGCAATGCCTCTGACGATTGTATGAATGCCCAAGTTTCAGACACAGGTTCCACCTTATCATGTTACAATCTCTTGCAACATGCCCTATTCTCTGACACAGGGAACACTTGAGCACACTGCAAGAGGACGCATAATGGCTTTTGCTGCCGCATCTATAACAGACTTTAGGCTGCCCAGCGTAAAAAATGATGAGTCTGTCCCTGCCTATATAGGCTGATGATGGTATATGCTTGATTTGATTCTCCTCCACCTTTAATTTTATTACTGCCGCCCACACCTCCTGTCCAGATCCCCCTCTCATCTAATTGCTTCCTAAGGGGGCTCATTACCTCCCCATACCTCCCCAGCCACACCATGATGTCCACCGCTGGGATGGACTCATTCCTCACCAGAATTGTTATATTTTTTAAAAGAGGTTGCCTGGAAATCACCTTTGGGACGAGACCCCTCCCACCTGGGGGTCCCCTTCCACTCCCGCTCATATCTCTGCAAAAATACATCCAAGCTTTCAGGCTTTACAAAAGACTCATCAAATTCACCACTCCCCACTGGTGCTATAAAGGCAAAGAGCTCTGATGCACTGAACCCCATATGTAAAATGCGGTCCACCACCTCTTTCCTGCTTGGGGGGAACCCCCACCTTCCCACCTCAACTGAATGACATTTCGTCTCTTCACACCCTGAACTGACCCCCCCCCTGCACCTCAGGCTGTCTCACCACCCCCTGACCCCCCCTCAAGGCTGCCGAATAACTCAAAACCTGTCTGGTGACAGGAACTTGCCCAGGAACAGAGACAGACACAGGGACATGACAGGGGGGAGGGGCCGTGGCAGGAGCGGGGGCCCGAACGGGAGCAGACACAGAGGCTGTGTCCAAAGCAGGGACGGAGGATGGCTCTAAAGCCGGGGTGGAGATCACACCACAGACGGGGGCAGGAGGCTTACTAATGGTCGGGTCAGGAGCTAGGATAGATGCCGGGTCAGAAGCCGGCATAGCTGCTTGGGTAGGAGCCGGTACAGAAGCCGCGACGGGAGCTGCAACAGGAGCCTGACCGGAGGTCAGGCGAACAGCGTCGGGGGAGGGCCCCCCTCAATACCAGCCCCGCCAGACACAACCTGGGGAGCCGGCCCAGCAACAGGCCCCGACACTACATCCCCAGGGACAACAGAGAACGGCACACTGGCAGGCATACTAGCAGACACAGACACTATACCGTCCACATGGTCCTTACTCACTGTGCCCACAGCCTGCGGCTTCAACACAGTACAGCTCCCCTCCCCCAGAGCAGCTGCTTTCTCCTGCTCACTGGTCAGTCTCTGCAACTTTACATATACCCCCCTTTCCTTTTTCTTGGGCTTTATGGGCTTTGGGCACTTGTCTGCCTCTGGATCCGTCTCATCTGATGAAAAGGCAAACTGTCTCCCTTCCAAGGGAGATTCCAACTCAGTAATAAACTCCATTACCCCAGCTGCTTCACTCTGCTCACATGGGACCCCCAGTCAAGCTTCTGCTGCTGCTGCGGGGGGGCTGATTTTGGTTCCCTCAATTATGGGAGAGGACACTGATTCTCCTGCATGCTTCCCTGGAGATGCAGAGATCCCTCCGGCGGGATCAGTTGATCCTCCGATGAAAGCACCTCCGATTTTTCACTGCTGCAAATGACTTCTCTCTTGCTTGCCTAAATCGCTCTTCATTGAGGTATTTCTCCCTCATTACTCCACTTGTGGCTTTAAGTGTTGCCACCAGGTCTCCTTGCTGCCGAACCGCCTTCTCCACAGCATCCAATTCAGGCTTCATGGCCTGCCTTTTGGAGCTCCAAACTCTGTCATAAAAGGCCTTTAGGCGTTTCAAATCCTTCTTCGTCTGTGTCAGTTTCTCTTCCTCTTGAGCAATCCTTTTAATGTGCATAGCCACACGGTTTTTGTACTCAGAATAAGGTTCCCCAGGCTTAGGGCCTTTTCCCAGGTCCTCAATAGTTGTTCCAGGACCGGTACTAGGAGCCCTAGGGGTCCTTCCGCCACCTGGATCACGGCCAGGCTCAGCCATAGTTTGCTTGGGCTCTGGCCCAAAATGTAGGCCCAGGCCCCAATGAGGCCTCCAAGCCTCAGAGAGCTTCACACGCTCACCACTCTGTGTCAGCAGCACCACGCCCACTTCCTTCTAACGAGGACCAGCTGTAGGATAGCTGGAAATATTTTATTAGATAAAATCTTGCAACCAGCATCAAAATTTTCTTACAAAAAGGTATAAAATACATATATACAAAATAAATAAATACATAAATAAATACAAAAAACCATACATCTGGTCATAAACAAAGAAAACCCTATCTGGTTACAACATCCTCCTAAAACAAAAAATATCAAAACACACTATATACTACTAACAAACACACAGTAAAGGCCAAGAAACATGGATCTTCAGATGCACATAGCCTTTCTTCAAAAAGCTATTGTCATCAAAATCTAAAGGAGTGAAAAACACAGAGGAAAAAGAACAGAATCCTCACCCAGAGTTCAACAGACCGCGGCTACAGACCGGATATTCCTCCACGCCTCTATCCAGGTCCTTCGCCGCTGCCTGTCTCTCTCAAGACCCCGAATTTTCCCAACCTCACCAAGGATGTCATACACCACCACCGGGACAGGAAGAATTTTCTGCCGAATGGAAACCTGACACCGTGCGTTCCAAGTATAGTAACGGACCACTAGACAAACTAAAAAAAGAGTGTCAAAATCAAAATCCACTTGTGTTTTGAAGGCCCCATATACCCACTCTGCATAAGACATGCAGTGCAGGAAGGGGATGTCTAGAGCCCTCCCCACCTCTTTGTACACCTCTATATTGAAAGGGCACTGAAGCAAGAAGTGGTCCATAGTCTCCACTTCACCCCCACACTCCGTCCTCGGACAACCACGGTTGTCCAAGAACGGCACTTCAAGTTCCCTCTCACATATAGCCTGCCATGGAACGCGAGCCAAGCCTGGTCCCTAAATTTCAAGGGAATCCTCTCCATATTTATCAATCTTAAGCCCTCCCGCAGACTATGGCCTGGGCAATCCTTCAAGGCCAGCGGTGCATGAAAGGCAGTGGCCACGACCCTCTCCCTGAGGAATTTCCCAGGAAGCGATCTGACCTCCTCCGCCGTCACACACCACTGCCTAAGTATTTTCAAGCTCTGGGCAACATAAGCCGGGAGCTTACCGTGCTTGACTCTCAGGCTTCTCACTGGCCCGCCACTCTCCCAACAGCTTAGAAAGGGTCTAAACCAAGCCCGAAACAAACCTACCCATGAAGGCGGCTTCTCTTTCAGCATATTACCAAAATTATGTTTTACAAACATAACAGAGAAGAAAACGATCGGGTTGACCATCCCTAGGCCACCCTCCCGCCTGGACAGGTAGGTCACATTCCGCTTCACTAGGTTCAGTCTGTTCCCCCATAATAGCTGGAAGAAACAGCTGTAGACCCTCGTATAGAGAGACTCTGGCAAGAGACAAACGTAACTGACGTACAAAAAGACCGGAATCAGGTAGGTTTTGATCAGATCGACCCTTTCCCTTAAGGAGAGCCGCCACCCCTTCCCGCATCTCACTTTACCCTCGGCATCAGACAACCTGGATTCCCAATTCGATTTACCA